TATTTCCTCTCGCGTCTTAAGTGCAAGCTAACCTTTAAGTAACATTAGCATCAAGTAGTGCAGACTGTGCATCTGCTTGATTCGGTTTGCTGTGACCTTACCAGTTTTGAATTGGAATCACACCATTTCGTAGATAAAGGAAACTGAGTGTATTGCTGCACTTTTAAGTTTTCAAAACAGTGTTTTAAAATTGCATTGTTTTTATTTTTTTTTTAAACTCAGTTTAAAAAAAAGACTAAAATGTTCTTTCAAAAGAGGCATCTAAACGTGTTCCTAATTTTGTATATGGGCTTAGGTTTTGTAACCAATAAAAAAGCTGCTATCAAATATGATACAACATTGAAAGACTTATTTCTGGAAATAATTGTTTAGCTTTGTTTTTTGTGTGATTAAATTTAAGTTTTGATTATCTTCAAATGCCAGCCACCACAGTGGTGGTGACGCATGAGTGACTGTCACTGTATTTTGATGTTTCCTTTCTACCGTAAGTGACCAACCAGTAGCTTCTGGAGAGAGTGCGTTTTGACAAATCAGAACTACCAGTGTGTGTGTCATTTCCTAAGCTGCCATAACACAGACCCAGTGAACTTGGGGCTTCAAACCACAAAAACTGTGGTGCAGTTCAGGCAGCAAGAAGTCGAGTCGGGGTGTTGACTGCATCAGGCTCTCTTCCTCACTCAGCCTGGAAAGGATTCCTTCCTGCCTTCTGGTGGAGACTGGCAGGCCTCAGCTCATGGTTCATCACGCCATTCTCTGCCGATCTGTATGTATTGAAACACTGTAATTTAGAAGAAAGCCTCAATTATTTGAAAAGATGGTGTGATTATGAAGTGAACCAACCATTCAGACTTTAAAGCCTGTAATTATAACAGAAAGTAGTAATTGAAGTAAACCTGAAAGCCTTTACTTTCAAGGTAGAAGTGTAGCTCTGAATGAAATCTTGGATTAATTAGAAGAACAAAAGAACAACCAGACCTTTGAGTATAGAAATATTCTTCTGTATATTGCCACTTCAAATTACTTTTAAAAGAAGTCAGTCCAGTGACGCATAACGCAGGTCAGTCTCTATGGTTTCAAGGCCAGCCTGATCTACACAGAGAAAGCCAGTCTTGGAAAAAACAACAACAAGAAAGAAGTCAGTGTGTAAGTAAGTCAGTGAAGTCACACAGTCTTGCCATCACTTCTTTCAGATGTGCATCCTTTTTAGGGCACTCACCACTGCAGGTAAACCAAGGGCGGCTGCCATTTAGATGGCATTGGTCTTTCTGTGATAGTTAATTTGTTTTAAACACTTTTTGACTATGATTAGGTTTTTAATCCTCTGGAGAACTTTAACTATTGGTGGGGGAATATAGTTTCTGTTTATTACACTGATTCTAAGTCAGCTGACCCAGAAAATGCTCATGGACCCTACCTTCAAGCTTAGAAGTAAACTGCAAGTAGTCAAAAGCATGGGACAGAATGACTCTCAGAAATGTACATAGAGACCAGTTGTGAAAATATCTGTTTGGGAAAGTGGATGTAGGTGCATTCTGTCTCTGTGATTGATTTGCTCAATAGATAACTTACTTTGGCCCATTTTTTGTTGTTGGGTAACTGATTGTTCTGCAGGTGTTTTCCTGTGGACAGTGAGATGGTTAGCTCCATCTGTGAGTTCCAGTCACCAGGTTGTAATAGCAGCTCATCCTCTTCCAGGCTACACAGCTGGACATATGTCTATAGACATTGCTAAACATCTGGTGGCCCAAACTTGCATCGTTGTACACCATTGACCCAAATCCACTCCTGTAGTAAAGGCTTAGCCAAGGCAGTGTACAGCTGTCTGCTGTGTGAACAGTAGGCTTTTCTCAGTTCTGTTTAGCAGTTGAGCTGAGTTAGTGTTGGTTCCAAATATCAGTGTAGTTTGAAAACTGTTTTCATATTCAGTACTTCCTAAGGCACACAAGAAATTGTTTCCCTCAGAAAGCTAACAAGTTTTTTAAGCAATGTAGAAGAGTAGAGAGCTTGAGTAGCCTGCTCTGGGTCCCGAGTACAAATCCCAGAAGCATTAAGTAAATAAGACAGTACCATTACTAATAGTATCACAAAGTCCCTGCAGGGAGTTTGTTCTGCAGTGTCCCTACCTTTCCGCAGAAATTACCATCTCCTATAATGGTGTCCAAAGACTCTATCTAGGCTGTGTACGGACAACTATAAGGTAAATACGGCGTGTCTTTATGGGATAGCGATTTTACCAGTTTTATGTAAGTGTAAATCTGAGTGTGTTACAGAACATACATGTATGTCCATATGGTAGTTTAAAAATCAGGTTTTTTGTTTTTTGGATTTTTTTTGAGGCAGATGTTTTATGGGACAGGATTAAGAAGTGATGAGTCACTAACTCTAAGGGAGCTTAGTCTGCTTTGTTGGCTGCTGATCCCTCCTATCCCTGAAAACCATTCACTTTTCTTAAGTGTCCATCATTACAAGTTTTGTGATTGGAGCTAGTTTAACTTTTCCAGAGAGCAGAAGAGACTGAACTGTTCTTACAAGATGCATCCTCTGTCCTGCTCAGCCTGAGCACCTATGCAGTACTGCCTTCCTAGTAGTAAAAGCCTTACTGCTCCTGGTTCCTGTCCACTTAAACAGGCCACGGACCCCAATAATGAGCGGTATGACTAGTTTCTGGTTATAATGAAATGGCAGCATTCCATCATCTCAACACAGTTCTAGTGTGGGAAAAGTTATTAATTTCCAGCCTTGTCTTAGACTTGGAATTATAGCCTAAACTTTCTTTGCTCTATGATATAGGCATCTGCCCTGTCTAAAACTTAAATTTTATACTATCTCAGTTCAATTTCCTCATAATATCATTCCTGTAACTCTGTCCTTTTTTTTTTTTTTTTATGAATAGTTAAGACTAAGCCTTTAGGAACACTAAAATATTTTTTGAGCATCTTATCCCATGCCAAGGTAGTATGCCATGGCATAGGATAAACTCAGTTCAGGAATGGCCTGGTGAGGAGGGTGATGCTGCTAGCCAGTGGTTCCTAGGGTCAGCTACATTTAATACAATGTGGTCCACTTGACCTGGTGAAGTTTCTATTAGGTTGTATTTTTTGCAAAGTATGAAGCTGACTGTGCTGCAAAAACATGGAGGTAGGAAAGGTCTGTACACGGGTATTGTGGGAAGCACAGAAAAATGTCAAAGGCCAGTGGAGAGAAGGATTAAAAGGGTATGTAAATGGGTTAGATATCTGTCTGCTGCTCACAGGCCAGAAGAGGACACTGGATCCACTGGACATGAAGTTATGGACAGCTGTAAACTGCATTTGAGTGCTGGCAACCTAAATGGGTCTTCTGCAAAAGCACTAAGTGCTCTTACCTGTTGAACCATCCATTTGATACTTCAGCCCCAAATACCAGTTTTCTATTATCCCTCTTGCTCACAGAGTGCCGAAATCCTATGGATTATTAGCAGGCAGTGATATCTGCCCCTAGCTATCGCCCTCTTCCTGGCCCTATTAGTGGAGGACAGATTAGTTACCGAGAGTGTATTGTTTTTCTTGCCGCTGTGATCAAAAAACACTGACAGAAGCCATATAAGAGAGAAGGTTTGCTTTGGCCCCCAGTTTGTCGGTAGTCCATCATGGCAGGAGAAATCATGGTGTCAGGAGTTGGAAGCAGCTAGTGACACGCATCCAGTCAGGAGGCAGAATGAGACATGATGGTGTTTACCTTGCTTCTCTTCCTAGTCAGCCCAGAACCCACACTAAGGAACAGGTCCACAGGTAAGGCATGTCCCACCTTAACTAACCTAGAGAATGCTTCATAGGCATAATCAGAGGCTATAGTCTCCCAGTTCATCTTAAATCCTGTCAAATTCACAACTATCACCAAAAGAATTGTGAGAAAATTTGATAGAGAAAATGTAGTTCAGAAATAATTGGTTTTCTCTTACTGGGCTGGCAGGACTGGCACTGCTCTTTTAGCGGGTCTTGGATTGGACAGCTGGTATTTGCAGGATCCTGTAATAAGTGCCAAGGATCCCACATCAGACATGCCAGTCACAGCCTCTGCTCTTGTGGAGTTTCTATTCTAGCGTTGTAAGGGAGTCGTAATAAAGAGTAAACAGAATTTCTGCAGATGTTATCTGCCACAAATAAAATAGTACAAGACGTGGCTGGGAGGCGTTTTTGAGCTTATGCCAGCAATCTTTTCAGTTTTGCTAAAGTACACATAACAAAGTTCACCCTCCTAGCCAGCCATTTTTAAAGGAACATAGCTTAGCAGTAGTTTGCTCACTGCCATAGAGCCAACCTGCAGAAATGTCTATCGCAAAGTTGGAATTCATTAAACAACTGCCTCCCCCTTTCCCAGAATCTACCCCACTCTCTGAAACCTAGGAATCTAGTGGTTGCTAGGCACGTGCTGTGCCGCTGAAGCTGGTCCCCAGAGGAGGCATACAATATTTGACTTCTAAGGGTTAAGTATCAAATAGGGTCAGTCATCTGCATGGGATTTAAAAGCCTGGAGGAGTGGGGCCATGGTGATGCCTGCCTGATGTTGCTACCCTTAGGAGGTCGAGGCAGGAAGATAATAATCTTGAATTCGACCAGCCTGGGCTGAATGCTGATTAACATTTTAGCCTGAGCCACATAGCTAGACTGCTCAAACACGAGAGAGACAATGGTTGAAAGGCTGATAATGACTGCTTGGGCCTCCTTGGCAAGACTTGGTAAGCCTCTTTAAAACCTTTTGTCTAAAGATTTACCATCTCCAAACAAAATTCTCCTCTGTTTGGTCTTCACTTTGTGGCTTAACCATTTGAACCTCGTTAGCCGTCAGACTTTCGTATCTTATGGAGGCAGCTAAGTATGTAAAGCATGAACTTGGGTCCAGGAACCATCAGGACAGACATGGGCTGCACAGGCGGAGCAATGGGCCGGAAGGCCGGGCCCCTTGGAGCCCCGCCCATGAGAAGCTCCGCCCACAAGAGGCTAGCTCGCGGGCTTCCCACTCTCCTGTGCGTCCTGTGGAGCCATGGGCAAGCACTGGGCGCTGGGCCTGGCGGCAGGCTCCTCATTGCTGTTATGCTCGGCGCTGCTGGCCGTGGGATGCACGCTGGGGCTGCGTCTGGGCCGCGGGCGGAGCGCGGTGGAGCGTTGGGTGCTCGCCTGGCTCTGCTACGATTCACTGGTACACTTCGTGCTGGTAAGTGTCGTCGCGTCGCTGCCGGCCTTGGGCTCCGCCCAACTGAGGAGGGTTGGGCCCACCACCCTGACCCCGCTGCCCTGAAGTCTCTGGTGTGGTCGGATGGTGCAGCCTTTGGCCTTGATGGATCCTCCAGTTCAAACTGAGCCCCTTACTCCCCAGATGCTGCCTGGTCTATCAAATGAATTGAGAATCAAACTTAGAATTGATAGAGGAAATTCTCCTTCTCCCTCTAAACTTGGTTTAACTTTTGTAGGTCAGACATATCTAGAAACCCATTTCTTGTAGGTTTCCTAATTTTGTAGAATATAGGTTTTTAAACTATGTCCATACAGTTTTCTGAATTTCTTTGATACCTATTATCTTCCTTTTCATTCCTAATTTTATTAATTTGGGTCTTCTGTCTTTTGGTTTAGTTTGGCAAAGGGCTTGTCAATCTTATTAATGTTTTGTAAGAATCAACTTAAGTCTTATTCTTTTTTTTTGTTATTGCTCTTAGTTTATTAATTCCTGCCTTGCTTTTAATTATGTAGTCCAGTCTACTGTTTTGAATTTTGGGTTATTCTTGCCTTTTCAAACTTTTTTTTTTTTTTCGAGACAGGGTTTCTCTGTGTAGCCCTGGCTGCCCTGGAACTCACTCTGTAGACCAGGCTAGCCTCGAATTCTCGAACTCAGAAATCCGCCTGCCTCTGCCTCCCAAGTGCTGGGATTAAAGGCGTGCACCACCACCGCCTGGCACCTTTTCAAACTCTTAAGGTGCATCATTTAGTTATTTATTTGGGCTTTCTGACTTTTTTTTTTTAATGTAGGTGCTGAGAGCTGTAACTTTTCTTCTTAGGATAGGAATTTTCATTTAATTCTGAGATTTTTTTTTTAAACGTCCCTTGATTTATTCAATTGCCTATTCATTATCCAGTAGTAATCTGTTGCTCAATCTTCTTTACTCTATGCATTTCTGATTTAATGTACTCAAAATACAGGCAGAATGCAACCAGATTCTGTGCCAGGCTATAACCTGAATGGCCTCTAGCCCATTTTGCAGTAGCAGTCTTCTTCCCCTCTGGAATCTCATGACCCAGGTTCCCACTGCCTTGTTGCTCTCAGTAACCGTATCTTCCAGACTTTCCAGACTGTCCTTTCAGACTTCTCTTACAACATTTTAGGCCTTTTGTAGCCCAAGGTTTCAAACTGTTCACATTCTTACAGTTCAGTTTAACAAAGGCCTAAGAACCTCATGGTCAGGTCTACCAAATTTCTGTTTAGTTGCTTGTATTGTTGCTGCAACAAAATTCTGACAAAGGAAATTTAAGGAAGGAAGGGTTTGTTTTGACTGGCTGACAGGGGCCGTATTCTATCGTGGCAGGGAAGGTGTGGCAAGAACAGTAGGCAGCTCCCGGCAGAGGGTCAACAGTCAGGAAGTAGAAAGCCCAGGAATGGTACCACTCACATGTAGAGGGGGTCTTTTCACCTCAGTTAACCTGTTATAGATAATCCCTGACAGAGAAGTGTTTCCATGGTGATCATAGATCCCATCAAGTTGACAGTTGATGGTCAAGATTAAACATAACCTGGTCATCAAATTCACCTAAAATAAAGTGAATAATTTTTTTTAAAAAATTTCTGTTGGCAGAGGTCGGGAAGGCATGCAGCTGTCATAGCATTGCATATGGGGAGCAGTCGACAGAGTCAGAGTCAGTTCTGTCTGCTCACTGTTGGGATTTGAGGATCAAACTCAGGTCATTGGATATGGCAGAAAGGTTTTTATCCACTGAGCCATCTCGATGGTCCCTCACCACACTTTAGAAATAGCTAGTGCAACTGCTATTTCTGATGTCCTCCCAGTTTTTAAAAATATAATCTTAAATACTTTTTTTGGACAAAATCTGACCTACTTTATGTCTGAACAGACCTGCAGCTAATTTCTATAATCTTACGAAGAAAACAGTGTTTGGTCATCATTTAGTTCTGAGTATTGCTAGTTAAATGAGTGCCAATGCCAAGTGTTTACACAGAGATTAGATGCCTTGTTTCCTAATAGTTAATGCGTAAGTTATTTCTCTCAAAGCCTTTGTTTAAAGAATTGATTTTTAAGCAACCACTTGAGTACACATAATTCCCCAAAGAGCGAAGGCAGTAAAACAGGTATAGAGTGTGTATCTGTTACCCCAGCACTTGGGAGGCAGAAGCAGAAAGATGAGAATTCCAAAGCTCTCTTTGAGTACATAGTAAATTCAAAGCCATCATGGCCTACAGGAGACCCTGTGTCAAAAATAAACAAAACCCAGGTCCCATGTAACATAAAATACATAGCTAAAACATTCCAGAAATATAAAAGTATAAAGATTCTCAAAAAATATATTTGTCTACCACCCAGGTTAAGTTGACTTCTCAAGCACAAATTCAGGTATCATGACATGGGCCTTCATTCATGGTACCTTGAGGCCTGGTCTGAGGTGTGGAGTTAGCCTTCCTCAACTCCCTTCCAGATCTGGAGGAAGCCTCCTGTAGAGCCTGTAGTTGCCTGCTGTGAAGAGCTCTTTTGTGATGGCCCTGCCTTAGCTTTCCACACCTAAGGTGTACCTTTCTCTACAGATGGAAGTGACCACTCAAGGCACCACAAGCTACTTGATTGATATCTTTTTTTTTTTTTTTTTTTTTTTTTTTTTTTTTTTTTTTTTTGGTTTTTAAAGACAGGGTTTCTCTGTGTAGTTCTGGCTGTCCTGGAACTCACTTGGTAGACCAGGCTGGCCTCGAACTCAGAAATCTGCCTGCCTCTGCCTCCCAAGTGCTGGGATTAAAGGCGTGCGCCACCACCGCCCGGCTTGATTGATATCTTAATCTCTCTGAAATTGAGACATATGGTTCAAAATCTAATTGGCCCACATTAATGGACATTTTTTGATGTTACTAACAAAGCTTTGGGCAGAGTCTTTGGACACCAACCTCAGAGGTCAGTGGAGATGACCCTTGAATTAGCAGTGAGTTCTGTAAGGAACATACTTATCTGGATTAGTTTTGGCTAGCAGTTTGCTGCAAGGGTATCCAAAAATATGGGCTGCATTGATACTGTGAAGAAGAGCCTTGAGGAACACTGAATGCTCTCACACAGCACTTAGCTGCCTTCATTACCTCTATACCTCCCAAGTTTGCTTTCTGCCACCAAACTAAGAGCTTGCCTCTGAGACAGAGGTATAAACTGTGCATTCCCAAGGGCAGTTCACCTCACGTGTTCAACCAGAGTGTGCTGAGTAATTGTGAACATCAACCTGACTAGATTCAGAATTTCCTGGAGATGTGTAGAGCTCGTCTCGGTATGTATCTGTGAGGGCATCTCTAGAAGGTTAACTTGGAAAGGCCTGCCTTGGAAAAGGTGGTACCATCCAGAAGGCCAGGGACTAGAATATGGAGACACAGGAGGAAGCTGGAGTGGAGGCATTCACAGGCAGTCTCTGCTTCTTGGTCACCTTGCTGTGATGTGCTCTGCTCAGCCACACCTGTGGGAACTTCAGCAATTGAGCATAGCCTTCTAGATATGGCCAGAAGTCAAGGCAGGAGGTTCATGCCTATGTGTAGGGAAAATCCAACAGAGGTCAGACAAGCAAGCTGCTGGCAGTCTGGCTGAGGAGGGAGCTGAGATGACAGGTAATAAGCATGGCTTATGTAGTGGGAAGGATCTGATGTTATTGCATTCCCTGTTTTGGTTTTTGGCTGTTCCTTCAGGCTTGTAACCCCCATAGCTCTTACTGTTTCCTAATGACTGGAGCAATCCGGTTAAAGCATTTGGGCTTTTGCCTTGTTCCCAAAGCAGCTTGGGAACAACTTGAGTGCAATAAAGATGGTGCCTTAGCTAGAGTTTTACTGCTGTGAAGAGACACCATGACCAAGAACTCTTATAAAGGTCAACATTTAGCTGGGGCTAGCTTACAGGTTCTGAGGTTCAGTCCATTGTCATCAAGGCAGGAAGCTTGGCAGCATCCAGGCAGGAGCTAGGAGTTCTACATCTTCATCCAAAGGAAGCCAGGAGCAGACTGGCTTGGAGGAGGGTCTCAAAGCCCACCTCCACAGTGACACACTTCCTCCAACAAGACCACACCTACTCTAACAAGGCCACACCTCCTAATAGTACCAGTCCCTGGGCTGAGCATATTCAAACCATCACAGATGGCAAAGAGGAGAAATTACAATGGTGAGGTCCTGAGGCCCCAGAAGCAAAGTCTCTCTCTGAACTTCTGCTCCTTCCACACTCTTCAAGTCAGGCATTAGAGACTAGAAATTCTCTTCTCCAAGATGGTCATAGAAGCTGACATACTCTTGCCCTGCACCTTTCTTGGAGCTGACCATTATACTGGTCCAGCCTCCATCTCAGGAAAAGAAGCCAAGAAGAATCTGCAGACAGGCCTTGCTGGGTGTTCCCCACTGTGACCACTGATTTTCTGTGCTTTGATTGTACCTGTGCTGTGAAATCCTGGCAAACTAGAGACTTGGGAGAATGATTGACAATCATGCTTGAAGTCCTGAGTTCATCCCCAGCACCCCATAAGAAACAGATGTGGTAGTATATGCCTGGGATCCCAGCATTGGGGAGTCAGATGCAGGATGATTGCCACAAGTTCAAGGCAAGAGTGATCTACATAGTGAGTTCTAGGCCAGCCAAAGATAGAATGTAAGAATGTGCACCATCACGAAGCCTAGAATCACGTGGGAGATGAGCCTCCGGGCTTGAATGTATGAAATTGTCCTGTTTGTCAGTTGATTTGGGAAGATTGATGTGTGCTGGTGGACAGGATATGACCCGGGCTATATAAGTGTTGAATGTGGAATTGAGGAGTGAGTGTGGGGTTAGGGGTGAGTGTGGGATTAGGGGTGAGTGTGGGGTAAAGGTTGAGTGTGGTGTTGAGGGTTGTCTTAGTTAGGGTTTTACTGCTGTGAACAGACACCATGACCAAGGCAGGTCTTATAAAGGACAACATTTAATTGAGACTGGCTTACAGGTTCAGAGG